TTGAATGCCATGTTAGCTTTAAACCTGATCGTGAGCATGAATTATCGAAGATTCCCTCAGAACTCCAGTAATATGAGGTCTTGTGCATGATGCCTGGCAAGCGTAGACAGTAGCGAAATCTCTTGGCAGGATCAGATGAAAAAAATCAGGCGTAAGTGATTCCCGATAACAGCCACCAATGATCGATCAAGAAATCAAAGAAATCTTACTTGACAATGTATAATTTAGAATATGAACCATAAGCTGGTATCGAATTGATCCAAATTCTTTGAGAATTGGTAATGGTTGCATTCAACTGCGCTTTACTCATAGCCTCTTGATTAAAATCCAGTCAGCTCAATCTGACAACTGTCTCCCATAATCATGGACAATATGATGGAATAGTCAGCGATTAAATCGGCCACTGTCCTGAGGAATTCTATGCGTACTGCAGAGGGCGGGTGAGACGTGCTGTAAACCAAGGAGGCGAAAAATGCTGGACTCCAACGGTTTCTCTGCGATTTCCATTGGTAATGTGATACCAAATGTCTGAGAAGACGACATAGGAATCATGACACTATATTCTACAACATTTCTTGGTATTTAGTTTTCCAACTACTTCTTATAATGCTTTATTTCCGATAAGAATCTTATTCTGAGTCAACGGCTTTGGTCGAAAAGTAGCTACGTTTATTTTTTTCTCCATCATGTGTTTCATTTCTGTTCACTATTAAACGATCCAAGCGCAACAGCAAGCCAGGCACATTGTGAACGATAGATCGCACGGGGCAGGCAAAAGGAGAGCGTCTTCGATTTAATATAAGTTAGTTAATATAGGCACCCATCTTGCTTGAACTGAGTTAATGAACACTGTTAAAGATAAAGAAATTATGGCAGTTATAAATGCGTCAATGGGATGAACTAGCATGAGATTTGAATGCGCTTTTGTCGGTAATACCCATGAAAGCAAGAAAGTTGGCCATATCTATGCTCTTTACACATCAAGAAAACAATGACACCCTCGAGAAAAAACCAACATTTAAGGTTCTCAAAGAAGCTTAAACGTGCAAACATTTCGTTCTATGTAAGAACTGCAAGGTAAAACATTTTGGCCTTAACGAATCGCGTATGAAACTTATTTCAGTAATTTCACATTCTTTCAGAAATAACTATTTGTATACGGGCATTTCAATGATTAGTCCATGGACTCAGCTACATTCCTTCTAAAACTACCTTGCTTCCTAAACAAGTTTTGAATGCTTCCTTCAGGCGACATATATGAAGCACTTACAATAACTTTATGTTCTGCAGCTATTCAGACGCTGCCATTATTTGCCTCGATTTGCTGCAGGTGAAAGGTTTCACTGAAACTTGAAACCTCTCTTGAATCCCTTGAAAGTTTTTTTTGGAAAAACACCTACTACTTTGAGAAATATTACGGGCATTTTGAGAAATAACTTGATTAGAAAGGTCATATATTGGCCGGCAAAGAAATTACTTGATTGGATATAATACTTTCAGCAGCACTACAGCGTACGCGTTTTATATAATTAGTACTGTTCTAGGGTGAAGACTCTGAAAAATAGAGGTTAGACCTCATATAG